GTGGCTGTCTTCAAATAGATGTTCTGGCAACATCTTTGCTTTCTGTCTAAGTGATCCCTAAAATGTGAATTAGAATGAGGCCTTGTCTGTTGAAACACCTTCAAAGCTGCACCTTATGTGAATGTCATACAATGGGGTAAGATAAGAGCCTGGAGCACTAATAGATTTGATAATGATGGTTTACACTCAACCCACTTTTGTGAAGGATTTGGCAAGCAAAGAGTGACAGACAGAGAGAAGAGCGAGCCAGTGAGATGAAGAAGAGTGAGCGAGAAAAAACATACTGAAGAGTGATAAAGAGAGAGACATACAGAAGAAGAGTGAGCGAGAGAGAAGAGCGAGCCAGTGAGACAAAAAGAAGAGTGAGCGAGAGCGAGAGAAAAAGACTTGGTTGGTGAATCCACACATCAAACTTGTCACAAATACTGGTATGGATTTTTTCCACCAAATGCAAAGCAGACCGCACGCCTTCAAAGATTTATTTCTTTTGTTAATTCTCCTGCTTCGTTCACACTATATGCAAATGAAAATTACTGTTTAAGTTGCCAATTTTACTGTGTTTTCTAGAGAATTACTAACTAGTTGTGTTTTCAATTGTGTGTAGCATTGCGATTTCTATTTGAGTCTAGATGTTAAATTGCTAATAAATGGCCAAAATCTTCAAATACCTTTGAACTCTCACTGCAACAAATGGCGTACGTTAATACACTCACATTCACATTCATTATATCCAATATCAGGTACCATGTCAATTCACAAATCGCACCTGAAATTGCACACCCTGGATGCGACTTGTCATGCGATTGGCATGGCCAGCAACTTGCCCTTTGCATGGCAAATTGCACACAATGTTACTGGGGGCTAACACCACTGTCACATCTAATCCGATGCGGCAATTGCCCAACTTACAGTGAAGTTGCACGAGTTCACAATCCAATTGGATGTGAACAGAGCCTACAGTGGCCAATAGGGTGCGACTTGGTCTACGATTTGCAAGTCGCCTGTAATGCCAATTGCATGGCAATCGCAAACAATGTTACTGGGGGCTACCCGGTCACATTAAAGCAGATTTCTAAGTGGTGTTTATTGACACCACAGTCACATCATGTGACTTGCATAGAAGTTGCATGATTTCAAAGTTAGGGTACATGGTGATTTCAAGTGCAATTTGCAAGACAATCGACACCGATCTCTCAGCAAATTGCATGAAAAGTAGTGTATTCATTACTCTATTATTACTTGCGGCTCCAACCAAGTTTGAACCACAACAATATGAACGCTCCAATAGCGTGCACATTGAGTGGGACTTGGCATGTGATTTGCACACAACATGCAAGTTGTAAATCGTCTGCAAAGTCGCACCCTATTGTCTGCTATTAGAGTGACCACATGGGTGCGTTTTCAAACACTGATTTCTATAGTAGTACATGTACTACTTTAGTGGCAATTTGCATAGAGATCTGTGTCAGATGTCTTGAAAATTGCATTAAAATGGTCAACTTTACTGTAAGTCGCAGGATTTGTAAATCAGCTTTGCCCAGAGTGTAATGTTTGGTGATGTTTGATTTCTGGAGTGTTTTGCCAATTGATGGGAAATTCACCATACTAGTCAAATCGATTTGTCATTTTCAGTATTGCATACAAGATGTGGTCATGTGACTGTCTTAACTCATGCGAGAATCTGGAGGGAATTGTGACCATAGTAGCAATAACGGTTCCAATTGGGGTTCCCTTTCACATCCCTGCTCAATGTTCTGTTGTATGCTGCACACGTACATTTCACTGTATATTTCTTTCTGATTTGTGGGGCCTGTATACCAAGGGTTTAATGCAGGTAGGAAGCGGATTCATCAGGTGAAAACACTTTCACTGACCAAAATAAGGTCAGTGGTGGGTGTGGCTTCATTGGGGTGTGGGGGCCTTGTGTTTGGCTCGCTCCAAATACAACCTAGCTTATATAAAGATGTGCAGTAGGGAGTGATTTGGCCTGTTACTAGGCCGGGGTGGTTTGTGACTAAGTCCTTGCTTGTAGTGGTTTGGGGGGAAGAAGAGATTTTGTGCTGAATTGCCCCAGACACCACTCAGGCTGTGTTTGGAAGTGGGCTGGAAATGTTTGCATATTTTTGGCCTTGTAAAGTGTTTGTTGTGTGTTATTGCACAATGATTGTGTTTTTTCTCTTTGCATTGAAAGCCTCACACATGTCAATCGTTTTGTTTAAAATCTGCTCTTGTTTTAATTTTGCTTGCTTATTTAGACTCCAATGCATTTTTCTGACAAACCTGCTGACACAAATGTATGTGTAGGGGATTTGTAGAGGTGGGAGGGGATTTGTAGAGGTGGAGGGTTTTTTTTCACATGCTTTGTTTTCTTGATGATATTTTGATCTGAAGACTTTTTTTTTTTGAATGGATCTTTTATACTACGTGATTGTGTAAGTAAATCCTATGTGCATGAAAATGTTACTTGATTCATCTTCCCCTTTGTTTCCTGCTATAAACCTGAGCACACACAGTTCACTAGAAGTATCTCTTTAGATTGTAAGCTCTTATGAGCAGGAGGAGTGTTTTATTTTTGCCACATCAATCCTATTTTTGTGACTCACCAAGATATTGACTGTACCTACTTGTTCCTGCTGACCAAATAAATGACGATATATTTGATCAATAAATATTTGACCGATGTTTTTGTGTTTTTTTTATGTTCAATATATGAACAACCTTAATAGTTACTTTGTGTATATACTTATATAATCTGCTCAAATGTAGCTTGTAAGAGCGTGAATATGCAAGTGTGTGCAAAAACTGGCTTTTTCAAAAACCAAAAAAAAAAAAAACCCACTTGCACCACAATATTATATGTACTAATGAATGTCACATTCACTGTGCAGCCAGCTACAGGTTTTCTACAATTCGATTTACAGTAATAAAATAGTCCACACTTTGTTGATTTTTGGCCTTTGGCAACAAATATTAGCCAAGGTTAAAAAAAAACAAATCAATAAGAGAAACACACATTTGCGAAAGCTATCATAGCCGCACATAAAAAATGCGCGATTGCAAACAAATAAGCAGCCAAAAACAGGTGTCCGCATGGCGCATGACCTGAACGGCTATCCGTCCGTCCATAAGTCCGTCATCACGTGTGCGCGCACACCGGAAGTGGTTGTGGGGAGTGGGGAAGTGGATGGATGACAAGTGGTTGGTGGGGTTTTGTGTTGGTTGAAAATTTTGATAACCTTATTGGCATTTGGACATGGCGAGAGCACAGTTCTCAACTGAGGAGATGATCCTTATATGTACAGTAAGTGTGTGGCCATTGCAAACATGTTTTATATAACATGTGAGGGACAGGTAATTGCAATTTTGTGTGGTGGGGCCTAGCTAGCAGAATCTCACTTGGTGCACATGCTACTTATCTGTACATTAGCTCCTGGGTATTGATGGGTCAATGATATTAACCACTTGCCTACTGGGTACTCCTACCCCCTTCCTGTCCTGGCCAATTTTCATCTTTCTGCACTGTTACCCTTTGAATGACAATTGTGCGGTCATGCCACATTGTACCCATCTTAAATTTATATCATCAGTTTTTTCAGACAAATAGAGCTTTCTTTGGGTGGTATTGACTTGCTGCTGTGTGTGTGTTTTTACTTTTTTGCTCGATAAACCACAAAATATAGCTCATAATGAATAAAAGTCTGTTTATATTATAACATTTGGTGTAAACTGGTAATTTAGCAACACTGATGTGCGTTGATGAGGCAGCACTGGTGGGGTGGCACTGCTGGCCACAGGTGGGCGTAACTGTTGGGTGGGCACTGGTGGGCACTGATCATCGGGGCCGACCCCTGCTTTGATAACTGCTGGTTCTCGGCAGTACTTTCCACACATTCTGATAGCGTGATGAAAGTGCAGCCAAGACCCGGCAAATGCATTTCCGGTGATCAGCGTGTCATTGGACATGGCTGATCACATGGTAAAAAGCCGCTGTGATTGGCCTTTACCACATCACGTGATCAGCTGTGTCCTTAGGACACAGCAATCACGGAGAGCGCGTTCTGCCAGGATGTCATATGACACCCTCCCAGAGCTGCCTGGATGCAGTGTAGCGTTATTCGGCTATCTGCGGTCGCCAAATAGGTAACCAGCTAGGCCTTCATGGCTAATCTTTGAATATCTGGACATGTATACTGCGTATAATGCATTACATTCTACAATGTGTTGGTTGTACATGGTATTATGGTATTACAGTGTGCAATGCGTTGCGTGCTGGATTCTGCATGACAGTGGACAGCGTATCACAGTGTGCAATGCGTAGCTCCCATCCTGCATGACAGTGTACAGTGCATTACAGTCTACAATGTGTGGGTGTACACGGTATCACAGTGTGCAATGCGTTGCTCCATCCTGCATGATAGTGTACAGTGCATTACAGTCTACAATGTGTGGGTGTACACGGTATTACAGTGTATTACAGTGTGCAATGCGTTGTACACTGCAGTGTGCACTAAAGCATTTTACACTCATGCACTGTACACACTAAAGCATTTTACACTCATGCACTGTACACACTAACGCATTTTACACTCATGCACTGTACACACTAACGTATTTGACATTTTTAGTGTGCAATGCGTTAGTGTGCAATGCCTTGGACAGTACAATACATGTGCATACCCTGAAAAAGGGTCCTGCACATTTTTGGCCCGGATGCGGTGCAATTTGAGGTGTGCAAAATGTTTGTCTCTAATTGCAACGCACACAAATTGCATGTGATTTGCCCAGGAGTGCGGTGTTAGACCACAATGCATGTATGTGAAGCCCAGAATAAAAGGATGTGGATTTTGTCTACTTTTACTTGCGCATGTTAACATTTATGTAAGTGCATTTTTTTTCTGTTTAACATGCTATAGAAATGCAACATGCATTTGGATGGAGTGTTTTTGTATGTGCATTTTGGAAGTATTCTAAACACACATTGACCCTAGGGCCACACCATATCTTATGCAGGCCATAGATGGGTCGAAAATTGGCCGATTTTTCGTCGAAAAATAAAATCGGCCGATTTTCGGATCGTTAGTGGGCTATTTGTTCGGCCGTTTTTCGGGTATTTTGGCAGATTTTTTTTTCGGTAAAGTTGGAAAAAAAAAACGGCCGAATTTGCCGATCGGCCGATTTTTTCGGCAATGATGGGCAAATTGGCCGATTTTTTACTGATAATAAAAAATTGGCCGATTTTTACTGAGGAAAAAATCTGCACATGAGCAGTGACCTGCAAGAGGAAGACAAAAAGAAGAAAAAAAGAAGAAGAAAGGGATGAAAAAGAAGAAGAGGATGATGATGATGATGAAGAAAGATGAAGAATGGAAGAAGAATGAAGAGATGATGATGATGAAGAAGAAGATGAGGATGAAGAAGAAGAAGAAGAGGATGATGATGAAGAAGAAGAAGAAGAGAAGAGGATGATGATGATGAAGAAGAAGAAGAAGAAGAGGATGATGATGAATGATGATGAAGAAGAAGAGGATGATGATGATGAAGAAGAAGAAGATGAGAGAAGATGATGATGATGATGAAGAAGAAGAAGATGAGAAGAAGAAGATGATGATGATGATGAAGAGGATGATGATGATGAAGAAGATGATGAAGAAGAAGAGGATGATGAGATGATGATGATGAAGAAGAAGATGATGATGATGATGATGAAGAAGAAGAAGGATGATGATGATGAAGAAGAAGAAGAAGAGAGATGATGATGAAGAAGAAGAAGAGGAAGAGATGATGATGATGAAGAGGAGATGATGAGAAGAAGAAGATGATGATGATGATGAAGAAGAAGAAGAAGAAGAAGAAGATGATGAAGAAGATGAAGAGAGGATGATGATGAAGAAGAAGAAGAGAAGAGAGGAGATGATGAAGAAGAAGAAGAAGAAGATGATGATGATGATCAAGATGATGAAAGAGAAGAGAGATGAAGAAGAAGAGGATGAAGATGATGAAGAAGAAGAGGATGAAGAAGAAGAGGAGATGATGAAAAAAGAAGAGATGATGAAGAAGAAGAGAAGAAGAAGAAGAAGGATGAAAAATGAGAGGAATTCCAGTATGGCAAAAAGTGTCCCTGCAGAGAGCTCCGCTATTTCTTTGACAGTTCCTTGACATTTACAGCGGTTGCAACATTGTATCTATTTGTTTCCGAATAAAAAACATCTGTATCCTAAATGGATACAAATAGATACATTGTTGCAACCGCTGCTGTAAATGTCAAGGAACTGTCAAAGAAATAGCGGAGCTCTCTGCAGAGACACTTTTTGCCGGCTGTAGACGGGATGAAAATCGGCCGATTTTTTTTTTTTTACCATTGCTGGCAACGTCGGCCGCTTGAACAACCAATTTTTCATTTTTTAAAAGAAAAAATCGGCCGTTTTTCTCCCCGTCTATGGTCTGCATAAGCATTAGTGTGCCTGGGGGAGGGGGGGGGACCTTTGGCCTTTCCAAACACAGTAGATGCTCCAAGAATGTTTCCTTGAACTCTTGAAATGGTTAAAAAGGAAAGACACTCTAGATAGCCTGCACTGAGAATTGACTGTCATGATGACGTGTCAATGATTATTTGCTCTCATTTTTCAGGAGTGGTACTGCTTGCGGTTGAAGCTGGTAGAAATCCACCTTCACGTCCTCCACTCACCTTCACTCGTGGCCAGTGGATATTTTGTGGCCGCAGGCAAGAACTGGCATCGAGGACCTGCATAATGACCCTGGCATGCCAGAGGTGGTTTGGAAGCAGCACAGCAATTTGACCATCCCTTTCCTCTATGTTGGTTTTAGGGGTGCAGAATTGCTTCTCGTTCGTGAACGGGACTGTCGCCGGATATCAGAGTCCCCATATTTTCAAGATATGTTTTAGCCATGTTGGCTTATTTTTTTATGTTATTTTCCAAGTGTGTCGCACCTAACCGCACAGTAGTGTGGTGCCATGCGTATTTGTGGCTGTGAATGGGGCTGTTTTTAATAGACGTGTGTAGGTGCAACAACGTTTTCATCATGGTACCTGCGCACATCTACATAGGGCATTGCATTTCTTTGCTGTGCTGGAAAATGTGTGTTTCTTGCATGCGTTTCTGCACCACCAATGGTGTGAACAAGTCCTAAGGGCTGGTTCACACTATAGAAACAGTCTAGATGTGTTCCTGATGGGTTTTTTTTCATGCCCTTTTGGCATGCATGTTTAGTGTGTTCCAGTACATTTTGAATGCGTTTTGGACATGTTTACATTGCATTTTTATATCCCTTCCACTTATTTTTTTTCTATTTTCTTTGTATTCAATGTAGTTAGGGACATGTGCGTTTTAGTACATTCAAGGACGTTTCAATGTGTTCCAGTACAGTTCTGTGCAGAAACAATGCAGCGTGGTGGTCAACTTTGTTTACAGCACCTGCAATGCACTGAAAATGCAAGTGCTGATGTGAACTATGACATTGACAACCATATAACCTTCTTTCTGTGCGTTTGTGATGCCGAAAAAAGCAACTGAAACACATGTAGTGTGAACTGGCCCTAAAGTTTATTAGAGGTCAGGGAACGGGACTGACCAGGAATTGTGAATTCAATCAGACTAGTGGTGAGATACAATCAGCAATTGTATAATAATGTGAGATCTGAGCTGTAGCTGATAGAAAATGAGACACATTCACTTGATCAGTAAATAGATAGTTAAAGAGTGGGGCGGTGATCCATAGATTTGCATATGGGACAGGTGATGGCGGGGTGGGGGAGGGGGTCAAGTTGTATAAGGAGACAGATTTAAAAAGAGAAAAATGTTACAATGAAATATACACGGCATGAAAATGGCACATTTCCTAATTGGCAGAAGAGTACATTCATCCACTTTTTAGTCATTAGGCAAAATCATAATTGTTTGATCAATATTCCTGGCACTGACACAACCCAGAAAATTGATCTCCATTTTTTAGGATGTAGCCATGACCAGGATTAGAACCCATGACCCAAGTGCTGTAAGTTCTGAGCTCTAACCACTAAACCACTGTGGGAGACACAGTTTGAGCTATAATGTAGAATAGTTACATTGTTTGAAAATGATAGAGCGAGAGCGCTGGTCAAATTATATAGACTAGTAAAATGGTATTACACAAGATAAATATAACCACGAACAGTAGTGCATGAACTCGTGAAAGGTCATCCACCCCTGTGACAGTGTACTACACTATTGAGCACCTTTCTGGCTCCTGTGGCTGAGCTAATTCCTCCCCAGGACCATTTGGGCACCCCACCCTGATGGATGGATGGATGGATGCTGGATGACTGGATGACTAACCCATAACTGCCAGCATACCGCTGCACCCCCAGATGTGTGATGTGTATAACCCATACACATTAATACTTTTGTTTGGTGAGTGTAGACCAGTCCCAAGGGTGGTTTACCTTTCACGAGTTCATGCACTACTGTCCGTCACGGAGAGACCACACGTGCCATTCATAGGCACTCTCTGAGTTGGTACTCTCACACGAAGGACATTCCATTATTCAGGAATGATTCTATGAACTTATTTTAGCACCATTTACAATATTACATCATTGTTGCAATTCTTTGCACTTTTTGGTTTTTACATGCGTTCATTATTGATCACATGCATTTATAGCGCTGCACTTGTCTTTACCATAGAATAGTTACGTGATTAAAGAGAATGAAGATATATAATTATATTGGGAAATTAGAAGTATATAAATTATTTGAGATATAAGTGTGTAAATGTTTAACATTTGAGTACAGAATGTATGACATTCATTAGTAAATGCATTAGTTTCCTGATCATTTTGGAGACACAGCAAGAAAATAAATAGAAGAAAATAGAAAATTCTAATACAGGTGTACAGGTGTATTTATAACATTCTAAGAATTCTTTTGCCATCATGAAAACGCCAATGTAAATAAAGCCCGCGCTTGTGCGCCATCTAGCGAACATATCCGGTATTGCACCTAAAAATGTGCCAGTGATAGCAAAGTAGTCAATAGACGCTCGTCAATGAGCTTGCTAGACGCTGGTCAGACGACTGATTGATTGACCGGAGTCTGCCTGAATGGTCAGTCTCTGCTATTACACTCACATCTTAGTGAATCAGGGCCCATATGTCAGCCGGTATTGGCGCACCCAGTTGGGGCATATTTAAGCGGCGTGGGTCAGAAGTCAACCCTCTGGAACTCCTGAAACATTGATGAGGGGCAACCTGTGGCTTCTTTGGACTACGTGCTTTCTCTCTGGCTACAGGTATATTGAATTCTTGTGCAGTTGCAATGATGATAATTATATGTTATTTGGGAGGTGTGAGTTGACAGGGGAGTCATAAAAAATGGGGTTATTCTTTGTTTTTCAGGCCAATTGGTCCCCATGCCCTATACTGGAGTTAATCTATTTTGGAGTAGTTGAGGCTCTTTGGCTTTTTGCCTTACAGTGAGTGGTTGTCTACATGTGCCCCTCAGGTCTTTATAGTGGACGTGTCACTTCATTTATAGAGGTAACTTTTCTTTGAGTATTTCAGTTTATTATGTAATACTAGATGGGTTGCCCATTTTAGGACACCACTAATTTATATTTCACATTGTGGTCTTTTTTACGCCTATTCTGTTTTATACTACTAATCCTTACTAGCTAGATTATTATGTTGATGCTGTCGACCGCCAACCTGCACCTCTGATTTTAGTCTTTCATCTGCTGAATGCCTGTGAGTTCCGTGGGGTTCTCTGTCTGCCCACTGCATAGTTGATGCGCCCCCACACCCAACAGTGGGGTCTTTAATTTTTGGTTGATTGGGGGGACCTGGTTTGCTGCATTGATGAGTTCCTCACCATACAATACACACTGTTTAACTTTGTAAGTGCCTGATAGGTGGTACCTATGCTGTATTTCCTGTTTAATTTTACACATGATTACTGTTTATGTTTGTTCATGTTTTAGATGCTTTTCTATCCCTGAAGAAGCAACTCCAGTCGTGAAATATGTTGGGGCATTTTCCACACAGCTTGGATATTCCCCACCCTCTGAAAGAAGTAAGCTGTGTTTACCATCTCCACCTAACTTCCTTTGGAATTAGCCTGTAATTTTTGGCTGGTGGGGGGAAACATGCTGTATTTCAATTGTGCAATGCAATTTTAAATATATGCAAAATATGTTTTAGATGTGATATGTTAATAAAGCAACATTGTTTTACTGAGTTTATGTGCCTAAAAAGTCCATTATTTATTTGTTTTTGCCCT